AGGAAGTCTATATTTTAAACTTGAATTTTACAACAACGAAACTCTTTACAAGCAATGATATAGTCGCAAAACATTGCAACCTCGAGGTTCAAAACACAGCTGTGATACCCGATTCTGGAAAACTACCATCGATTTATCACTTCTCGTTTGTTTCGTTTTAGCAACGATCAAACAGAATATACAGAATTGTAATTATCCAAAACAATTACAAGAAAAACTACAAAAAAGTAAATAAAATTGTTGGGTACACATGCATTATACCGGATACCTGCCTGCCATATTTAATTAGGCCACGTGATGCGAGCGCGGAAAGGTGAAAAATATATAACTGAGATGAAAATAACCCTAACCCTAATCCTAACCTAGCCCTAACCCTAACCCTGCTAGGTATCCGGTATAATGCATTCTAGCCAATTGTTGAATTTAACCAACATTAGTTTAGCAAAAGGACGTTATATCATTAAAGAGTTTGATAATATTTTCAAAGGCACTATACATACTTGTTATATTCTCAGCACCAACCATTGGAATTGCATTGGACAAAGAGCCTATACTCACCACAATACACCGCGGAGTGCCTGTGAATGCTACTTTCATGCTCTATCCGCTATATGTTATATCCTATTTGGATTAGTTCTTTTAAGACGTTCCCCTAAAACTGTTCCTAAAAAACAACATTGATTGATGGATAGCAGCCTCAGAAGCAGCCTGGCTTGCAACATCAGCCAATCTTAATTATATTTTTTCTGTTGGACATCCTCCTCGTGTTAGCTCTCAATTACTCCGTATCTTCCGTCACTGTTAAGAGCTGACTTGCTTTTCGTATATCTGAAAGGTCATATATGCTGAGTTCTTTCCGGAAAGATATATTTACGTCATCACATATGGGGCTCAAAGAATCAGTAATATCAAAGGCTTGTGCGAATTTCATTCTTACTTTGGAGAATGTTCTGCTGGTATGTTTATTTGATGGGCGCAGAAAGCCCAACCACAGAGTGCATGTGCACTGAGGTTGACGTGTAATGTGACATGGCAAAAGAAACTAGTCAAACAAAACACCAATTCTTGTATATTAATATATTTCATCTGTCAAGGCACTAACTAAAGTTATGTGAAATTATTGGGAGTTCTATAACTTTAATTTCCTTTGAAAGTATATTTGTACAATGTAACATGTAGTTTATAGGCTATCAACTAAAATATCCTATTTCATTAAATTCGACCAAATTTACATTAACCCTTTTCCTTGTTATAATCCCAACCCTAATTTCTGAATAAATCTTATAATGCTTATAACTAGAATTGTGTTCGAAGCGGCGCTAAACCTGGCACACTCACTATGCAGCTATATAGTCTGTCTCACAGTCCCTGAACCACATTAATTTCCCCACTGCCAAGCTCTCTCGGCAGTGCTAAAGCCCTAAATAAAGCAAGTCTAGATTTCCTCAGGTTCAGGTTCTGAATCTCTGGTCTCCCTAGGGCTCCTTTTCAATATAAATGGGCTTGTTTGTTATTATCAAAATTATATATATTCAGAGACTAAGCCTTAGTCTACACCTATTCCTACTGTTTTTTAGACAATTATTGCACATAATGGTACAGCACCTACCAACACCTCAAGAATGACCACAAACAACAATAAACAAACAAAAACATAGATCAATTCCGAGGACCTGAGCCATTTTATTGACAAAGATGAATAAGAATATACATTTTGTTTATTATGTGTGTACATTGTTGTCTGTGTTATTATACAAATAGTATCCCATCAAGCTTTATTTCATAGAATACATGTACTCTGCAATCGTAGACTTCACAATTGCATTTCTTTTTCAGAACCGAAAATAATGTAGTATGTAGTAAAATAACAAAGAAAAAATACAGGTTCATTTGGGGACATGTGTTTCTTAATCAGAATAGGCTGTGAGAACAGTGCTGTCAAGTGTTATAATGTTGATGTATTGTTGCTTCACATTCTGGGCCATCCAGCTCGCCTACAGCAGGTAACGTCCTGTGACAGCTACCAACATGCACTGCCTCGCGGAGTGTACGACTGTGTGCAATCCTCCACGCTCACTGCTGCAGCAGGATATATGTGTGTTATTCAATACGGTTGTTCACAATAAATACTTCCGTCAACTTACCCGGTTGTGTGATAAAATCACAGGCTGAGATATTGTCGTGTTCACTTTCACATACAAGCTCTCCACACTGGCTCAGTGTTTCTATGTTAATGGACATCCGTTGTATAGGGAACAAACAGATGACTTAATTCAGGCTAATAGCTGGTTGATGATTATGTACACGTCATGTACGAACCGCATTAGTTATAAAGCTCTTTGAATCTGGGTTTACAGCCAAAATGGTAAAGAAGGAACAGGGAATATATTTTTAACCTATGTCTATACTTGTCACTTTCAGATAGATATATGTAGATCTAAGACCTAAGACAAATGTGTCGGACTATTTTGTGTGATAGGTGCACGACATGGCTAATTGTCTGTGCGTATTTACACGCTAAAACAATATGTGACATTCCTCCGCTTTCGGTAAACGCCGCTCCTCCTGCATCCATCAATCATACGCAGACCCAGTTGATGGGGGATGTTACACTACCGTATTCTCTCCAATAATCAACGAGGTTTAAGTTTTAGGTTTAGCAATATTTCAGCAAAATTATGGCGGTGTGTAATTATTTGTTATGTTTGTTTGTTGTTTACATAAGCTCTAGATATGATTAGTGTTGCTTTTAATAGAGAAACAGGAGTGTTGGTTGGTGTTTAACGCTGCCCTGACTCGGAGATCTGTAAATAATCGAGTCTGGACCAGACAATCCAGTGATCAACCACATGAACATTGATCTACGCAGTGATACAATGGCACCTGACCACCTAATCCCATTAGTCGCCTCTTGCGATAATCATGGGTTGTTGAAGATCTTCTCGGGTTGCAGGTGTAATTAATCGTGTCTGGATCAGTCTTTGGGTATAGTTGTGATGTTGACATTGTGACGTGTGACTCTCTGACGTCATATAGTTGTGATGTTGACATTGTGACGTGTGACTCTCCAACGTCATCTGACGTCATATAGTTGTGATGTGGACATTGTCACGTGTGACTATCCGACGTCATCTTTGGGTATAGATGTGATGTTGATATTGAGACGTTGGACTCTCGACGTCGTCTCTGGGTAAAGCTGAGATAACAAAATTCTTTGATTGGAGTTAAGACAGAAAGGTGTGATCAAACAAAGGAATCAAATTTGATGAGAACGCCATTTCTTTCGAACGTAGTCCCGGTTTAATTTGACGTGTTCTGATCCTTAGTGGTTTTTTCTACACGTCCCGTCTGTGTCGTGGCCTTATGACGAAATTGGTGGATTAGTTTTGAGACGATTTAGGTTATCTTCTCACCATCAGACATGTTAAAGCTGTCGAGACCTTGAGTAAACTAGTCCAGGGTTCACGAAGAGGTTCAAAGAGACAGCTTAGATGCGGGGAATGTTCTCCTGGGTGAAAATCTGACAACAAACGAGAGGACGGCAATGTACCTGTCATGGAAGTGTTGTAGGCGCTCAAAAGGGTGAAGTAATGACTTCCTTTGCCAGAACGAGACTAATAAAACACGCTCCAGAAAAAGAACCGACTTAGAAAGTCAATTCAGTATCGCTGCAGAGTACATACTGACTTTCCAATACATGTCACCTTTTGTACCTCTTCTATAGCATTGTCCGTGATAACATCACTTCAGCGCTATGACTCTCATATATACAGGGGATATTGCAAGACGCCAATATTGGTCATATTATCGTAGCTGGAGAGTTTCCAGTCGGTCAGTAACGCAGGATTTCTCCGAAAAAAAATACATAAAAATAAAAAATTTATTTTATGCAACTAATGAAATGTGAACTTTATGACACAGACCACTGCAGCATATGGCTATGTTTTGTTGCACACTGTACGTTTATTAACATGTCTTTGCCATGTGCTAGCAATAAAGTTCTGGGTTAGAATTGATCTTCAGTAACCCATGCTTGTCGTAAAAGGCGAAAATTTATGTACAAAATAAGTGACCCCCTCCCCCCTTCCTGCATTTCATGTACAAAATCAATGACCCCCCTCTCCTTCCCATAATATTTAAGCATAATTGTTTCTATATAAAAATTGCTGCCCTCCCCATCATCCCCACCAGTACATGTGTACAATACTGATTATGGTCCCCTACCTCCCAAGAACAAAATGGGTGACCCCCGCTTATAATCAGTACCTCCAGCACCCCCCAACCCCCAGAGCCATAAATTATGAACGGTCCCTAGTATCACAACTAACCTAGGCAACATTGTAGGTTTTGTGAGGGAGAAGGAAATGCGTCTGGTTTTTAGAAACGTAAACGACTTTGTAGATGTTCCAACAACATTTGGGTTGTGAAGAATATCGGCTCCTTTCTTCTGGTAAAGTTATGTCCAGAAGCCGTGATTAAAATATATTACGTCTCCAGCAATAAAACTACCCTCAGAATATTTCACTAAAGGAGAAACTATAATATTAAACTGTAATATTGATTTCATAAAGGACAAGTTCAGTCACATAAACGGGTAGTTAGACAAAACCTATCTTCTGACTTCAATATTACGTTCTTCTTACTTCAATATTACGTTGTCGACAGATCTGTATTATACAAATGATCGAGCCTGTTCGGGGGAGCTTAATCTTACAAACGGGTATACAACGTAATCGGAGCTCAAAGCAACCGTTATGGTCAATCGGTTCACCCTAATCTCTTACATGCCGGTATTAGTAATGATCTATTATGCTGTTAGCGGTATAAAATAACCCGATCAGTCCCGAGTGCCGTTATGTTTATATTCAGAGTGAACTCCCTTTGAATACTCTTGCGCGCACCTGCTTGTTGACAATCCCGTTGCTAGCGACGAAACGTGTATATCACTAGGGAAGCGGCTTGAGAAAGTTGGCAGGATTCTAAGACTGAAATCATTGCAGACGAAGATGTATGCGAGTGGAGGCCTCACTAGGTCCGTTCAGACGGCGAAGAAAGACATCGGTGAAATTTTACAGAGCGGAAAGTATTACTGCAATGAGGAGATCGCACGGGAACTGACAGCTGTCTCCAATGGCCTCAATCACTTGAATCTGGATGACAAGTTTCTGTCAACCTCCACGGAGTGGCGTGGCAGGAAGGGACCCATGGCCTCGACGACGGTTCCTGGTAAGTGCTTGCTTCGTAATATAGTTTTCAGAATGTCTTGCATGTCGTTAATTGTGTTAGAGTTTTCAAAAATAATAGTTAAGTCACGGCTGTATTCGATTAGCATTCATTCTCAGTTAAGTTGTACAAATGCTGTCAGACTGGTTACAGGCCCCGCTATCCATACCGTGAAACCGTTTTTCCTATGAAATCGACAGTATTCAATAGTCAGATGTAATAGAAATTATGGTAAACTACAATAGTCACAAACATTTGAGAAAATATTTGAAACTGACTGTTTCTTTACAGTTGGTTATGATTTTCTTGCTGTCGGCAAAGCATATTGCCGTCAATGATTCTCTTCTAAATAATACTAATTACTTACAAGTCAACGTAATAAACCAGAATAATGAAATTTCAAAGTGTGCTTTTATATTTAAGAACATAAAAATCAAGAATGAGAAAGAAAGAAAAAGACAATTTTTTGTTTTAATTTTGTCGGTAGAAGTAACGTAATTTACGTTGTGGTAACTGATGTACATAACATTTACTACATATAAAAAAGTTTAGCAAGTAAAATGGGTTGTATTCTATGCCGAACACAATATTGCTTGCAAACAAATGTCAACTGATCAACAAGTAAAATTAATAGAACAAACTAACCCATTTTATCTTCAGTTATTGGAACGATTTTTTAAGGATGTAATCATACGTGACGGTCACAGTAAAATAAGTCTCATAGGATTCGATGCTGGCCCTAATCCATTTACATGGATAGCATAACCGTGTATGTTTCCAAACATTAAATCACCAAAACGGAGTAATGTGGCCCTCATCCTGGACATTTAATATAAGGATGTAATTTACGTTTTGTAATTTACGTTTAGTAGATGTTCAGAAATCCCTTTGTAAGTGCAAAAGTGCACCACAAATACCCTATGCAATCACACGTTGGAAGCAGTGGTCATTTCAGCACGTCATTGAATGTGAACTTTGATGAACCGGAGTTTCCTGATTCATCCTGAAGTAGAATAAGTGTTTTTCAATGATAAGGATGACTGTACTGTTTTGACACATGCTGCATAATAATTCCGAGTTACATTTTTGCAACATTACGATAATATATTGATTAATCAGTTTAAATACTTTCATAATTCAGACATGATTTATGAAAACCATTCTTTGCCTTCCATGCATGGCCCTGTAACGTAAATTACAAGAAGTGTGACGTAAATTACTTTTCATTGCCTCTACATTAATCTTTTCTGTATAAAGCAGAGGTGTATAAAGTAAGCTGAATATTGAAACATATGGTTTCCTATCAAGTGATAAAGCAGTAAACCTGTGATTGGATCGTTGGGATTTAAATTTAAAGATGTAAACAGAACTAATTTCAGTGTTTGATTATTTATTGATGTAGTTCTTTATATGATACTTGTGAAACTACACACAATGATGATAATACTTAAAAACATGCATGTTTTATCCTTAAACAAATGGCTATTAGGATACTCTTCAAAGTAGTGATGTTATTGCATGCGATTCATAATAAAGCATTTATGAAGTCTAATATTAACTGTTAAGCATAAATTACATTACTTTATTTGGGATTGTTTGGAAAGTGGCATTATGTTAAATGATGGAATCTATACATTATTGCTTGAATTGTGGTCATCTATTACAGATATTATAGCTAATTCTCAAGCAGAGAAAGAAAGAGAATACAGAGAGCGGGAAAATCAGAATTGGGAAACAAATGGAATAGGAAAGAATTGGAGCGTGTTAAAAGTATTATAAGCAGACCAGTACACTGTTTAGAGCTGAAAAGAAAAATTAACCGTGTGAAAGAAACAAAAGAAATATCAGAAAATATGGAGAAAATGACCCAGAAAAGGCATTCTAGCTACTATGACCCAGAATGATTTTAAGCTTGCTTTTACTGCACAAGTTGTTCATCTCTATGATGATAGTATCACCAATGAGCCTGTAGTGACTAAAAAAGTCTGATGAGAATGGTGTGTCCAGTACAACACAACGAACCAGTGATTTTAAAGCTACCTGCTTTTATTCATGTACAAGTTTCTGTGTTTTATACGTTCATATACAAATGTTCTTCGAAACCTCTGCTTTGGTCCTTGCTTATGATAGTATCACCAATGACCATTTATATTTAAAGTTGCAATTGTTGACTGGTAATTTACGTGACAGTGATATTTTGATCAGGGTTTATGTGTCTAATGTTCTCTAATGCTTGTACTTCATGAAAAGTAATGCAATTTACCGAACATGAAACATTTTTTCCCGCGAGTTTCCACTGGCAATTGTACATTTTAACTGAGAATGGCTGTTAGATGTGGTGAAGTGGGTTTAGACATCGCGTGCAAGATTATTGCAGTTATATTGCCGTGTGCGTGAGTGCAGTGTAGTCACTGAGATATCGTAACAGTTTTAGTACCATACCCCTCTCAGACACAGTATACTGATTCTGAGCCAACCAATCCTGTTGTACAATGCCCGGCGATAGGTACGGTCACAATAAGTACCATCTCCTTACGTCTTTTGATTTACGTCTTTTGCAATCCCAAGTGGGGATCTAAACACGGACCTTCCAGTCCCCATGTAGATGCTCTATCCACTAGACCAGGCATACAGTCATTTGTGTTGTGAACTCTTAATATCACCCAAACTAATGTATTAGAACTCTAAAGCTCTAGGTATGATATGAGTGTGTTGTATTTAAATGGAGAAACAGACGTGGTTTCAAACTTTATATGATGGATATTTAAATATATTAGTGGTATAAAGTGATTCTTTCACACATGTGGAACAGTGATATAAAGTGATGTCTTTCACACATGTGGAACAGTGATATAAAGTGATGTATTTCTCACATGTGGAACACTGATATAAAGTGATGTATTTCACACAAGTGGAACAGTGATATAAAGTGATGTATTTCACACAAGTGGAACAGTGATATAAAGTGATGTATTTCACATGTGATGTCAATGGTATACAGCGATTATTTCCCAGGTGTGGATCAGCGGTATAAAGTGATGTATTTCACACATATGGAACAGTGATATGAAGTTATGTATTTCCTATGCATGATGTCTGTGGTATGTAGTTACGTATTTCCCATGTCAGTGGTATACAGCAAATTATTTCCCACATATGGAACATTTAAACACAATGTATCTATTTCTGAGATGTAGCAGTGGTATGATACACTGTATTTCCTGAATACAATGTCCGTGTTATAACAGGCTGTATTTTCCAGATGCTGCGTCGGTGGTGGGACGACTGTCGGGTGTCCTCCACAACTACAAGAACCAGATGGAGGGCAGCAGGATGGCAGAGAAACAGGAGAACGAGATCCGAGAGATGCATCAGTGGGCAGTCACAAGCCTCAGGAATTCACAAAAGGTTGACCACATTGTGTAATTCTTGTTTAGATGATACTATTTTAATAAGAAAATAATAATAACTTTTGTATCAATAAACAGTAATATACTAAGAGGAACACTTTTCTATGGATAGACAACTTGTTTATTGCAATCGATGCGACATTTCGGTGTAGATCCTCACACTGTTATCAAGTAAATGGTACACAGTGTGGGGATCTACACTGAAACATCACATCTCTTGCAATAAAGAAGTTGTCTATCCATAGAAAAGTGTTCCTCTGCATCATACCTACTTCTTAATGACACTTAAAGAAGTAAAATAATACCAAAATTTTACACAAAAAATATTTTGAATGAGAACGTGAGGCAGAACACAAAATCAAATGTTACTGATGGAATGTGCTGGTCGTAATACTTGTTGGGTCGCAAGGACATAATCAAAGGGAGATAACTGTAAACATATAATATGGCCCCAATTCCACAGTGGGCAACTCCTAGTCGCTTGAAATGAATTGTGGCCATTGTAGCATAGTGTAGTGTTGCTTTGCAGGTGTGGATCCAGAGGGGGGCTGCAGGGGTGCGCACCCCACCTCTCCCCGAAAAAGATTTTCCCAGAGGAGCATTTCCCCCTAACCTTTGAAATTCATGATTTATGTGCACCCCTCCTTCTCCCAAATTCTGGATCCGCCCCTGCTTTGTGAATGTCAAACGGCTGGCTTAGTACAACTGACGGGATGCTATCAACTGTGGGTCTGACATGATTCAGAAAAGGGCATCTAGTACGCACAAAGTCCAGAATGGATTCAGTAAAGGATAAGATCCAACCCAAGGAACACACAATAGTATTGTTTGTACTCAAGTCTTGCAATTAAAGTAATTATCACATCTTTCAGTACAATACGCTGTACATTCATTACTCTACAGGACCCTCACTCTCCCTGTTAGTGCCCATGAAACTCATTATTGGGTCACCCCTTGTCTTGAAGGTTAAGGTAAATTGACCATAGTAAGTTAATGCAAGTTGAAGCTATTTTTGTAGGGGTATGAGTGGCCATGGGGTCTATAGCATCACCATTCACTGCATGGGTCTATAGCATCACCATTCATCCTGCATGGAGTTACATCCATCTGTGCCAGTACCTGTATTTGTTCTTTTGTTTGTTTGTTGTTTAAAATCTCATTTAGCCTTGGACACATTCATCCTATTCTCTAGGCTTGTCAGCAATACCATACCTGTGCTGGTTGGCTCCACCATTTCTAGCTATATAAACTGCAATATCTACCTGGACGCAACATTCTAGTGGTTGGACACATTCCAATATTCTGACATTCTGTATTCTGTTTTTGCAATATTTAGCTATATATGATGGCTGTTTGACACATTGTTTAACACCTCACTCATTCAGCAATGGACACATTTAACATTCAGCAATATTCTAGCTATATGCCAGCTGTTTGACACATTCACAGCAATATTCTATATATGACGGTGTTGGACACATTCATTCTAGCTGTATGACGGTGTTTGACAGCAATATTCTATTCTAGCTATATGCAAGCTATTGCCATATGCTGTTTGACTCTGAACAATAGGCCCATAACTGCAATAAGGTTCAAAGTGTCAGGAACCACTCACTCACCCACTTGTCTGTCTGCAGGACATGATGCCCTACACACTGTCTGCTGCCGACAGGATCCGGCAGTTTGGTGACCACATAGGCGTCACTGACCGCTTCACCGGCTACCGCAACAACCTCACCCGCACTGCAAGAGAACCTGACCCCACCATGTGGGCAGGCAGACCTGGGGGTCTCACTAGATCTCACACAAGTAAGTAGTGACACAGCAGACCCAACGATATATTCAACATTTCAATATTGGTATGCTTGTACAAGATATACATTTCTGCAATTTGCACTGACATCTGGGTTACCACTAGGCAGGGCTCAGCATCCAGTGCACTAAAATATTGGCTGGGATCCTCTGATATACAGTCATCCACAGAGGCCATCACAACTTCACTGTACTATTTTCTCCTCCAGCAATCGGTGCCCCAAGCATGGAGCAGAAGTTGAGAATCGGGGAGCAGACAGCCCAGCCGTATGGAGTCATGGGGAAGAAAGTCACGTTTGGTTCTGACTGGCCAGCTTCCTACACTCTTAGGGGTGAGTTCAAATGCTGGCAATATTAAATGGGATGGTATATATATTGGTAAGGATATACCAATACCTGAGTCACTGATATTAATAGCAGTGAGTGACTGAGTGAGTTCAGTTTTACGCAAACAACCTGGAGTCTTGTCCATTTATATAATGAACTGGTGGTGATCCTAATATTGCAGCTCTTTTTCACGTTGCATGCCCTAATGATGTTAAGGGCCAGGTCGTTGAGAACCATAACTCCACAAACAATTGACTGAGTGAGTATGGTTTTAGCAATGTTCCAGCAATATCACGGCAGGTGACACCAAAATGTTCTTCACACATTGTACCCATGTGGGGAATCAGTACCCAGGTCTTCTAAGTGATGAGTGAACACTTTAACCACTAGGCTACCCCCACCACTCCATGTATTGTTTTAAATTTTGAGAGAGTTCATTGTTGATTAAACGCTGCATTATGGATTTTAACACTGAACACACTAGCCACCTAAAAATGTAAGAACAAATATGTTCTTTATTCCACTTTGACTAAAATGCATCATACATTAAACTGAAGCATTCTTATTTTCTTTTTTTTGTGTGCACCTATGCATGTTTTAATAGGTGCACAAATTGATGTGCCCAGATGTGTTTATTGCTCAATAACCACCTCAAATTTTTAGTAAAAGCAACCAATTTAATTAAATCATCCTTCAGTGATATAGTAGAATTCCAAATAGCAGTCAGCACCTGTTTACCACAAAGTCCAGCAAATTTGTGTTTCTAATGACAGGTAAATGTACAATGATAAACATTATTGCTGCATGATGCAGTAATCTAATCTGTTTTACATCAAGGTTACCGCACGCTCGACAGCCTCTATCCACGAAGCACCACCAATACCATCAAGGGAAATCTCAGACCCAGCACCGTCATGGCTGATGTGAAATCCATGAATGCCCTCAATGCTCGACTAGCCGAAACTGGAGTCCCCACCCCCAGGGCCCAATCCGCCACCCTCATGTCGAAGCCTCCAAGCACGATGTCGGTACAGGAACAGGCAGGGATCAACACTCAGTTCCCCGGCAACACTGAATATGTGTCCCAATACACCAGGCCTCCTATGGATCTGCCCACCAGTCACTTCACCATCAACCCAAAGCCAGACTTGTCAATCTATGGTCGACCCCTGGGCGTCAAACAGTACTACCCTAGCTCCACTGAGTACCAGACAAGGTACATGTGGCCAGATGGGTCCAGAATCGTCAAGTTCCCCTGGCTCCGGAAGTAGACCTCAAGAGCCAATCAAAGGAAGTCTCCGAGTGCTACTACATCGACTAACAAACATCAAAATACTGTGGAAATACTGTGTGAGTTGACAACATGTTAAAGTAACTCATAATTGACATCAGGTAGTCTCATATCAGATTACAATGTAAAATGTTTTTCAGCATTATTTAAGGCATTAATACAGTCAGGGCTCGATTTAGTGCTTTGTTACTTGCACTGGTGCAACCCAATATTGCAAAGTCCAACCTAGTTATTAGTCTAACTTGCACCAGGTGCAAGTCATTTTTAGAAATAAATCAACAATTAATCTAAAAATATAAGCATAAATGTCAGCTCCATTTTGTTCTAAACTTTGAATAGCTATGGCAACGAAACATTGCTATTCATAGACATGTCTCGGCTATGACAGCTCAAGATTGTAAACAGGGATCAGCTGCATCTCTGTGTTGCTATGGTTTCAATGGTACTACATGACAGAAATATGTTTATATACACCGAAACCTCTGATGTTTTAACACACTACGTTGCAACTGGATTTGGCTGGTGCAACTAGGTTTTTATCTTAGGTTGCACCTGGTGCAAGTAGGTTAACATCTCTTAAATCAAGCCCTGACAGTTGTTAGCAATTTAGTTTATAATGCAATGAATACCAGCGTCATATGACCAATACCTGACACACTTTGGTATTATCTTAAAATTAATTAATTCAATCAATTTTCTATTGGAAAATGTAAGAATAATCAGATTATAAATATACCACTCAAATTTAGATAGGGATGCAGCATGTATGAAGCTGCTAGAGATATACACCAGAGGAGCACTCGAGGACTGCCTGGAATTTATATCCAAACCTGATTTCTCAAAGCTGATTTGTGACAGGTTCATTTTGGGTTGAATGTCTCTTTATTCAACTGTTATTCATGATGATGTTAAGTTTCAGAAACTATATTTCTATGAGTTGACATCAAACTTTTTGTTTATTTCATTTACAAACTATGTAACTGGTACGAGATATTTTTCTTCTGAAAATGCCTTGATTCATAGCTTTATCCCCCAATGCATTTGAATGTACAAACCAAAGTTGAAGTGATTTTTATCTTTGTCAGCATTATTGTTATGATACAGATTATGTATACGATTTATTTTAGGAATATCTATCTATTCAAAATGCAATAACTGTATGATGAGATTAAAAAAGTGTAAAATAGTTCTTAGCCAACTCTATAAGTTTTGGAAAACTCTTCTTGTAACACTGAAGTCTTAATTAGCCTCAAATCAGTACATCTTTTTAGTGCCAATACAGTGTTATGTTCAGTGAAACAATTCTGACATTCAGTAGAAGGTGAGTTCCAGAGGGCCAAATCTATGTTCCTCCGTCAGTATTATTATAATTATTTATATTACTTGTGTTATTTAGCAATATGTACAGATATATCTACACAGAAGCTCTACTAGACCTGTCCTTGTATACCTTTATGTGAGCGTGCTGTCTCAAAACTTTACAGTGTGATAACAATTTTACATCTTTTTTGTAAATAAACAACATATAATAACCTGTACGATTGTGTGATATATTTCAAAGATATTCCACCCCGTCTCAGAACATTACAACCTAGCAGCATGTTGTTGAGTGAGTTTGGTTTTATGCCACCTGGTGAGTGAGTGAGTTTAGTTTTACGCCGCACTCAGCAATATTCCAGCTATATGGCAGCGGTCTGTAAATAATCGAGTCTGGACCAGACAAGCCAGTGATCAACTGCATGGGCATCGATCTACGCAAATGGGTACCGATGAATTGTGTCAACCAAGTCAGCGAGCCTGACCACCTGATCCTGTTAGTTACCTCTTATGACAAGCATGGGTTGCTGAAGATCAAATCTAACCCGGATCTTCATGGATCTTTACCTGGTACAGTAATCACTTACATCATGGCACGCGGTTTGATGTAGGAGGAAAGCCAAGTTGATGCAGGTATTAACTCTGTGAAATCAACAAGCAAGGGTATGGGGGAACAAAACTACATGAACAGTCCGGTCTGGGATTTGAACCCATGAGCTTAGCTTCCTGGCCTGTTCAAGGGAAACAATTCTGTACAGTGAATTCCATTTCCACCCATGTGGTTGAAAAAAACAGATGATGAAAGTCAATGCTTTTATTCAGTATCCAATTCTATGTACTCGATCATCACCTACAAGTGAGCCAGTTGGGTTCACCAGTGACATGGCAGGATTAGCACAACGAAGAAAGAAAGCAGAAAATGGTACCAGTCACCACTAAGGTGAAACCCACATGCGTATAGTGCTTACAGACATCAGAATCTGGTGGGATTTGAAATCACAAGCAAATCCAGGCAAACTAATCGAAGCAATTTTGCAACCAGTTCAGCGTATACAAAGTTTGGGGGTAGGTTAGTGTATCACCTGACTTCTCAAACATCTCTCTTGATAAACAGTTGTATGGTCACAATAAATCAGTTTCAACTTTCCACATCAAACATTGTAACCTTGTTGATTTGTAATACTATTGCAGGAATATGTTGAAAATGTCAAATGTGTAATAGGTGGTCATGAAAATTCTTCAGATCCCAATTTCAGGGATGGCAACAGGAAACTCCATTTTCAGTGGAAAACTTAATATTGTATCACCGAATGGGGGTTCAGTGGGGCGATTTTGAAATAAAATCAGTTTAAGTCCGCTGAACGGCAGAAACTTGCCATCCCTGAGGTTTCCAAGAGGGAGACAACCCATTTACACACAGGTAATAAAGCTGGTCAACACATACAGTGTTTGCTGCAGATAAACACACACACGCCTTACGCACTTGCATGCGCACGCGGTACACATACGCACACACGCACACACACACACACACACACCTGCCGCTGTACAGTGTAAATATGGTTTCAAACATTTTCTGACCACTGAAATCTACCAGTTTAAACGGAAGGACTGTTTCAAACATTTTAGCTTGCAACATCACAGCTGGGACACCAGAAATCTACCCTTTTGCAGTATCCAACGCTTTACCACTAGGACCAGGATACGGAAGGAGATGGAGATGAATAATATTAACAATAAGAGGAAGTCTTTATGTTCCCCACCAAATTATATATGTGTGTAAGAAATAGTATGTTGGATAACTCATAGAACCAAAAACAGTTCATCCTGAATCTGATGGGTACAACTGACAAAGTGATGACTCAACCAACCAACCAGTCCCTCTATTGTTTAAAAGCTTTGAATTTCTTCCAAGGATTTCAGTTCATATAGCTTTTCACTTGACAGCCAACTCCCCAACAAATAGTAAAAACATGAAACACCTGGGGCCACTTGCATAGAGCAATCTTAGTTACAATCGATCTTAGGGCCCCACAATCAACTTTACTATTCAACTTTACAATCACCATACAATGGCCCTAACCCACTTGCACAAAGCCGATCTTAGCGCGATTGTAAGACAACATGGATTTAAGATCGTGATCTTAACTAAGATCGAACTCTTCAACAGTGGATGTAGGAATTTCTTAAACTCGACTCCTGTCTACAGTTGTATGCTAGTGCTTATATAGCATGCTGCGCAAATAAAAAGCGGAACTGGTTACTGCACACAACACATACCTCAAATCCTTGAAGGAAACAATTACGTGGAAGATAACGTAACGTATGTTTTTCTACATTCTAACTGTCATGATTTATGAACTAAGAATGTGATATTGCAACCACAGAAATACCTACCCATGTTTTATGGAAATATTGAAAGACGAAAAAATTCATTAATAAATTTGGGTCTAGATTTAGTTAATAATTATGAAAATTAAAACATAAAATATATACAAAATGTCCTTATGATATAACACCTAAATCTACCGTATGATTTGCTAATCGTTGCCAATGGGACATTGTCTAATACGCATCTGTTCAGGGGATTTGGAGTAAAATCCCAAATATACGGAACAGCAAAAGTAACGCAAGTCTAGCTTTTTGTAAAGTTTTTTAATAGAAGACAATCAAAATCATGTCTAATCATTTATTCTATAGAAAACACTGTCAATTTAACAGTTGAAAGTTGCTGTTGACATTGAATTGCAATAAGTTCAAATGGAGATACCCCTGAACGTGGAAAGTGACAGTCTCTTTAGTGGCGCGTATAGCCACCTTGAGCTTGCACACAATATGCGTTAAGCGTGGCCTCATTGAGTTCACTAGAGTCTGAAAGACTGCCTGAGGCAACTGGTTCCGCTCAAACACCAATCTGTATTCCAATTGTGCAAGTGTGAGTGGCTGTCTACCTGCCCCAATCCTCCGTCCAATTTCGTCCAAGAATGTTCAAAGGGAGCCAAATCCGTGAAAGAGACGGCCATGGAAAAATGTTAACGTTGTTCTGAGCCAGATGATCCATCAACACCCTTGCTGTGTTAGGGATGCTGGCGTTGTTTACGTGTCAAAACTGGCCCCACATATGGCCGTTGGCAGTGGATTCCAAAAGCCCGAAGACAACGCCTAATCGTATCGCTGGACACTGCTCCACTTTACCCAAGAACTAAGGCTGCTGTTACTGTTCCTGCTCGAGTTCGGTTCTTTAGATGAGTGACCCGGATGAACTGTTCTTGCGTATGAGTTGTCACTCGTTGCCGTCCGGTACGGGGACGATCATCAGCACCTGGTTTGCTGATGACGTTGAGCAAGTTGTGTAATGTGGTAACATGACAGCCCAATTGCCTAGCTACAGCGGTTGCGATCTACCTCTGTGCAATGGCCACTCCCCTCTGCTCAGTCGTTAGTCTAGGCATCGTTTGTGTGGCGTGTACACCTCCCAGCGTCAATACTGATGAACTGTTTTTTGACACAAACTTTTATAAAGAATACCTCAGAGTGAAATGCATGCTTTCCATCCAGAACCGTCGACGCACATGCTAAAATTATGGTTTTGCTGCAGTGTTGGTGTGAATGGTTCGTATGGACGTCAAATTGCATGACATCATCTCATCTGGGATCATTATGTCACTTTACCATGAACGTTCCATAAACATGAACGCTTACCTTCATGAAATTTCATTTTTTCGAAACTTGCGTTTCTTTTGCTGTTCAGTATATATCCCACAAGCATTGGTTTTGTAAACATATGAAAAGGTAACATGACTACGGGAATGTTGTGGAAAACGCATGACAGCGAAATATAGATAACTGAACTGTGGTGCTTTGTTCGTTCTTGAATAAACACTGCATCAGGAAACAGCATCCCGCCATCAGCCAAGTCACCAAGCACCTGGTTCAGCTCTCTCTCAAAACAAGCACAGGATGTTGTGAACCAGTTATCCTGATATCGACCAGGGTTTAAGTGAGTGAGTGAGTGAGTTTAGTTTTACGCCGCACTCAGCAATATTCCAGCTATATGGCGGCGGTCTGTAAATAATCGAGTCTGGACCAGACAATCCAGGGATCAACAGCATGAGCATCTGAATTGAAGATACCATAAACATGTTAAACACATGACATATTTTCAGAACTAAGCTCAAAGCTTTGAAACCGCTAATCACATGACACCTGTGAGAGATTCATACATGGAATACATAATCACAATCTTACTTTCCATTTTATTGTAAAATTATCTGTGTAAAAACATTGAGATATTGTTCAAGAAAGAACCCTGATTCAGCAAAACAAATCAAGATTTGAAGATTTCTATTTCACATACATATATATACATAGTACACACACACACAATAATGGTGCCGACATCTACAACAATGGTGCCAGCACTTCCAGTTTATCGTCATGTAGTATCTACAGTGGAGTCTGGCTCGCATGTGGTAACTTCCTCTGGGAATTCCAACTTCTCAAAGGTTTCTGCCCTCAGTGGCAGGTGCTTGTTGATTTCATTGGGATCTGTGAACAGGTGTGAGCTAACCTGTGGACAAACAAAATGATTATCTGATAACTGTGTGATGTTGGACTTGCCATGGGTTATAGTGAGTTGTGAGTGAGTGAATTTAGTTTTACATTGCTTTCAGCAATATTCCAGCAATATCACGGCGAGGGACACCAGAAATGGGCTTCACATATTGTACCCATGTGGGGAATTGAACCAAGGCCTCCGGCGTAACGAGCGAACCCTTTAACCACAGGGCTACCACCCCGCCACTCCCACTCCCACTCCCACTCCCACCCCCTGTGAGTGAGCAAGCATGGTTCAACACTACTTTGAACAGTATTTTAGCTTGGTGGGAACAAAGCCTAAAGCTGAGTGAGTGAGTGATTGAACTGAAGTGATTCAAGTCTGATGGTTACCAATTTGACAAACCTATAAACACTGTATTCAAACCCATGATCATGTTTCTGGTGTGCTAAAAGGACACACCTCCTCACAGTGTATTTATTAGTACATTTTGTCATTAACCATCTCTACAGCTTTCTAAAATGACATATACAGACACACATGAGAGATCAGAAAAACATGGTGGTATCTCCTTGTATGAACAACAGCAAGTACAGCCATACTCTAGTGATCATCACTATCATGTATTTCCGAGCTGATGTCATTTAGTTTAAGCAAACACAAGTCATTAGCAGCACCAGAGTTCAGGAAACATGCTGATAGCTCCATATAAGGAACATCAATAGCACTGGTTGCTTCTGGTTTATTTGACCTTTGGTCTCTCTTAAGATGAATCTGACAACATCCAGCCATCATCATTCTTAAAATCAATTTACATTTCAAATTGCATGTTTATGAAATAACCTGTCAATGCAAAATTGTGAACTTGAAATAATAAACCCAGTCCAAACACTGCATAATGTTAATGCACATAACAATCAGCTGAGTGAATGATCAAAGGGAGATAACTAGTCAACAAACCAAAGGTTATCCATTCACAAAAAGAGAATTTGACTTATCAACATGATCAATGCTCAAGAAACACTTTGAAATTTAAACATACCTTGAGGTTTTCAACTTTGTCATCCTTGCTTTGTGAACTGACCTCAAGGATGTAGTTCTGACCTCCTGTGGACAATGACAACATGACTGACTGAAACACAACACACAAAATTGTCATCACACTCTGACATAGGGGGCACAGCCATAGCAGACTTGAAATATTCCAACAAATGTGTGTGTTTATTGTTCCTGATGCTCTCAGCAATATTTCAGCTATAGACCAGATCATCTGATGATTGATATTGTCAGTAACGACATACGACACATGCCATCAAACAAAAGAGCATAATTTCAGGAAACAAACTTGAGGATGTAATTTTCAATTTGTAACATTCTACTTGAGGATGTAATTTTGATTGCACAAGCCTGATCATATGGAAAGAAGTTCTAGTGAGTGACTGACTGAGTTTCATTTTACGCCGCTTTTAGCAATAATAGAGAAATATCACGGCGGGGGACACCAGAAATGGGCTTCACACATTGTACACGTGTGGGGAATCGAACCTGTTTTTTTGGCGTGACGAACAAACGCTTTAACCACTAGGCTACCCCACTGCCCCGAGCGAGTGAGCTTCACACATTGTACCTATATGGGGAATTGAACCCAAGCCTTCGGTGTGACAAGCAAACGCTTTAACCACTACATTAGGCTCAGTCAGTAATCAGTAGAGGACGTATCCAGGTAATGGCTTGTCACGTGTAGGTTTACCTGGTGGTATATCCGTGTATCGTTGATGCGGATCATCACATTATCCACACGCATGAAGAACCGCAACAGTATGAAGAAACTGCTTGGCATGACACGCTGAAACACAAGTCGCCAGACCATGACCACTGCAGCAATATTTTGTAATCCATTTTCCTCATTAACACTAGCAGTTGGCTTGTTCAGCACAAAGCAACATATCAATATACCCATGAAGGGTAGTGTAATTGTTGTCAATGAATGAGTGTGCGCTCAATTTTTCATTCTCAACTCCCTGGGGAGTACACAGCTCAAGCTGCCTATGAAGCACTAAATGGTTAGCATTACATCCCCACTGCATCCTACAAGGTATACATTCAATGTTGTAACAACAGAGGCATACAGAATACCATACACACAACACCAAAACAACATAATGACAGGTATATTTCATGTTAAGGAATAAAATACATAATGTTTCAAACACCAAAAGATTATTTGACGACATTACACAATTCTGACTCTGATACTCATACTACTTTTCTCAATATGCCATACTTCAAAGTTAACATTGAAGAACAGCATTTCTGATGCATATCACCACAAGTGTGGAGAGTGAGTGAGTAAGTGTGGGAGGAGAATCGCACATGCAGCTAGGGCTGGTAGGCTACATGTCGGCACAACTCCCGATCTTTATCTAGGTGCGTTTAATAACTTGACAACAGATCTCATGCTGCCACGCTGTTCCAACACCACATTAAATACACTTCTTTTACCATCATGTTTTCCAACCACTATGTTTTACTAATCATTTGGAGAAATCTAAAATGTCTTAGAAGCTGTTATCTCCAATATCATACATAATTTGTTTTTATATATTAAGCACAATATTTGTCATCAGAAACATGATAACTGATGTCCCCAAATGCAACATTATCCTCATTAATTGTAACAGGACAATTTCAGTGCATACCATCCTATCAAGTATGAAACTCAGGTAAACCTTGACTATCAACATAGCAGTTTGTTAATCATAATAATGGCAATATATTGCAACACAGCAAGTTTGAAAAGTACATAGCAGAAAAAAACCTCAAACCTACAATTTTGACACTGAGAATGGAGGAGCCATTGTCTGATAATTCATCCTCGAACAGCAGGACATCATCGTAAAACATTATCTTCTCCCGAAGTTTGAGTTTTTCCAAATCTATTCTCTCAGATGTGGGTGTGACCTGCAATGATAGTAGAGGTAAATCTCAGGGGAAAACAAGGTTCAGATCAGCAGCATCAGTCTGTCATAAAACAAGCACCTGCTACTGCATGCAGGGAGATAATCCTCCCAGGTTCTTTCTAGGTTACAGGATTAACACGGCTTCATTGATTTTAGCTGGGACAGCATCAAGGAGACTGGTTGTGTTGCATAGGAGCCAACACAAAGGTATTTTCATGCCTTTTTCTACCTCACGTACATCATGTTTACTTGTAAAGTGCAGTTTGATTACCTATCTAAAAACCCTGAACTCCTACCAGCTTCCAACACCAATCCAGATTCGAGAATGGAGACAGTCAAAATTTCTGGATATCGGTGTGCATTGATATATTTTGGGGTTCCTGTTACAGATTGCTGTTGCCACTAATTGACCAACTGTGGTACCTTTTGTCGCTGTCAACCAAAACCTGCTTAAACCTGATTCATTGGTCTTGTGAGGTCATTTACTGACTTTACAATTCAGTTCGTACATACTGATTTCAGGGTTAACTTTGGGGTATCCCCTGGTGACACCTGACCTTGAACCCAGGCTGGTTGTCCACGGTAATCCAGGCTTAGCTTGTCCAGTAGGTCCAGTAATCAGCTTCACAACATTCTGTAGCCAGGTGAGTAGGTCCGATATCAAATGGCTTCATACCATAGTTCTAAAGATTGATGTGCTCACAGGATGATCAGCAAGATTTTGAGAAACACAAATAATTGAGTTTGCACATTTAGGCAATTGCGATACCATGAAATGTGTCAACCAATATAGACTGACCACACGATGTCGTTAGTCGCCAGTTAGACAGTATAGTCATGTTAAGATTGTCATCTTGTAACTATGGTTGAAATTTACAAGAGCATTTAGTAGAAACACAAATAATACACAAGAGTTATGATTTCGGTCAGCAGTGAGCAGTGATTGAGCTGACACACACGATATACACTGTACATACAAACCATACCATAGTTGCCGAAGATTGATGTTTGTTTGTTGTTTACAGCCTTATGGCAGAGTTCTGTATAAATAATTGAGTTGGGACCACACAATCCACTTATCCACAGCATGTGCATCTATTTAGGCAATTGGGATACCATGAACTGTTTCCACCAAGTAAGCAAACCAGACCACCCGATGCCGTTAGTCGCTGTGATAAGTTAGACAGTATAGTCATGTAGCGACTTGTCATCTTAGACCCCTGAAGGTCCGGTTAGAATATTGATCTTCAGTAACCCATGCTTGTCCTAAGAGGCTACTAACGGGATTGGGTGGTCAGGCTCACTGACTTGGTTGACACATGTCATCGGTTCCCAATTGTGAAGATCGATGCTCATGCTGTTGATCACTGGCTTGTTGGTCCAGACTTGATTATTTACAGACCGCCCCATATATGTGAATATTCTGATGCTGAAAAACTCACTCAATCACTGTTGATCTTAAGAGGGAGAAACATAAGTATGGGGCAGAAATTCCAGCAGCCACAAGAGCATTTAGTAGATTATTATACAGCAGGGCTCGATAAGATATGCTGGTATATTGCACCAGTGGGGAGTAAAACCTAGTTGCACCAGCCAAATTCTCACTGCACTGCTTTTATGGCAATATGTAATGAATGGAATAAATTGAATTATTTAGATGTTTTATTCAGAAGGCAGAAATTGACCTGCACCCAGTTAGCCACAAGCTTGCACTTTGTAATAGTAGCAAGTGCAAGTTTAAATCGAGCCCTGTACAGGTATATGATAACTTGAAATATTAATCACAATAAGTATGAAAAATACAGAACAGGGCATTTTTTATCTTGTCGCCAAAATTACAAAAGTGACAAGCCGATATGAAATAATTCTCAAATTCAGAAATCACCATCTGAATCCTGATATTGAAAACAAGGTACTATTCACATCTAGCTTCCTGCACACCTGGCCATAGCAACATCAAACAACATACTGAATAATCAAAATAGCACAACGTATCACAGGAAAACTTTCTATGGAAAACATATGATACTCATGATCAGTTCAAGGCACAAACAGCATGAAATGGTGCTCATAAAATGTGCAGCTGTTGACACAAGGATTTAAAGTTCATGGTCATTTTGGAACATGCTAATGTGGAGTTGTGTAGAACTCTACCCACCGTGCGTTCTGCCACTCTGCTGCAGCAGCCACCTTCAAGGGGTCTTGGTGTGCGTCCACCAACTTCAGGGCCCCCAGAGCTGTGAAGACAAGTCCAAAACCACCTTGATGCTGAAGACTGAGTGTGTTGTCGGCAAACACCATCTCCGGCAACTGTGGTAGCTCCAACTCACTCTCAAACCTGGACACAAATAGGTAGTTATTACTTGCAAAGAAACCAGCACCAAATATCTGTCATCTGAGAAAATGTAGGCAAAAAATATGAACTAGAAACATAAGCTTGAGAACATGAAATATTTAATTTGATCATCTGGAATAACACTGGATGCAGAAAACAGTAACTATCCACGAGGAGGTAAACTTGTAATGGTCTTCACACATTGGCTACATTGGGGCATCAAACCAGGACCATCAGAATTACAAGTGAATAAATTTAAACACAAGGCTGACCCACCTTCTCAGTATTAAAGGAAGTCATGAATAGATCAACTGTAAGGAACATGTGATGAATAAATGGGAAAATTCATATCAAGATACAAACAAGATGTTCAGTGTCAGATGTTAGCCCCTCACAGTCACACATATTTCAAAGAAAGCATTACATCCATGAGTGGTTCTACCTACTTTTCTCTCTCATGTCCCTCCGATTCAAGTATGTGACTTTTTGTGCTTGTCAGCGTCCATGGACCAAACTGGTACTGCTGGGACACAGGTTGTTTCCCCCTGGGGACAGGACGCGCTGTCATACTGACACTTTGTTTGCTACTTTGGAAGTGCCCTTTCAAATTTCCTAGTACCTTGAAAAATCATTCATATGTTAGTAGTTTGATAAAAATGTCAAATAGGCTACTGATAAGATAAAACTTTCTCTAAGTTTTAGCATGTATCTTAATCAAAGCATTCCCCATGTTTGCATTTTTGTTTTGATTAAGTTCTGCAACATCTCTGCTTGATCATGGCGGTAAGAGTTCCTCCCGTTCCCCATCTCAAATAATATTTAGAAATAAACATACACTAAAATCATTAACAAAACCTAACACAACAATTACTAGAGAACCCACAAAAATTACTAAAAGCCCCAAAATTAATTACATTTACAACATATACAGTGACCGGACAAAATCCACCTGGACAAAACCCACCCGGAAAAAATCCACCCCAAAATTGCCACCCCGGACAAAATCCACCTCTTCTTAACACAAAAATGGACAAAATCCACCCTTCTCAAATTGCTATTGTTAAAAGTTTTAGTGTGTCCTGATCTTTGATCAAGTTGTTTTTCTCAAGCATTGTTTTGATAGCATTTACGTTTTCCTAATTGGCTGTTGTTCCTAGATGTTTTTGCAAGCCTGATTGGAGCCCTTTATACTCATGTTTTGATATAACATACTTTTAATGAGTTTGAGATCATCCTGTTTATTTTAAATGAGTTTGAGATCATCTACATACTTTTCATTGAGTTTGAGATCATCCTGTTTATTTTAAATGAGTTTGAGATAATCTACTTACAAACAATGTGTATGTTAAGGTTGGAACCACGCCGCTTAAGAAACTGATAGGACATTCCCACCCTACTGTGTGGAGACTCATCGACTGTCTGAGAAAAGACAACGGTCTTGCGGTACAGCCATCTACAGGTCCGAAAGAGGTCAGCCCCCTAAGAAAATGTGCTTACATATGTATTTTGGTTGTTTTTGTTATCGATTATGAATGACTGATATGAATAAAATTCATTTCTGTGACTTAACATGTCCTTAGTTGTTTTTTTCTTAGGGTGGATTTTATTAGGGGTGGATTTTGTCCTAGGTTGCAATTTTGGGGTGGATTTTGTCCGGGTGGATTTTGTCCTGGATTCAACATATACATAGGGTCAAACCACGTTGTGTTACCTCTGTTAATCTGCGGAAGAAAGAAGTGGGGGAACGGAAGGAACTCTTTCCTGAGAGGATGTTATTATTTTATCATGGAAATGTGTGTTTAAAACAATGAAGAAAGTACATATTAACTCATCAAGTGATTTCAGCTGAAGATAAGTCGTCTTTTCTCAAAGGTTTTAATGTCTAGTAACTTAATAATAATATTAATAGATAATATTCTATGAAATAAGAGTGTACAATAATTCTATCATGATAGTCTCGTGGCATACATTGATGAAAATAGTGTTTATTACACTTCAAATTGTAGAGTGAGCGAAAACTGGGGGGAAGATATCCATGTAATCCTATTTTTATTTCGTGTTGTGTGTGGTACAGCACAGTAAATGTCTCATGTAAACTAATACAACAGAGGGCAGTGCTCGAAAAAGAACGAGTCCGCAATAAATGCGCTTACCTGACGAAGTCAACGCAGTCTTAATCTCTGCCATTGTGACTACAACTGTTTGTCTGGTCCGCCATGGCTTCAGCACATTGTTATGGGAGTTACCTCCCCATAAAACAGGGTTTTTTGCAATCGGTTAGATTTTACGACCGTTTCTGCGTTCCTTGTTAGTCGTCTTGGGAAGACCGAAATGTACCGTTAACACTCGTTGCAGCAGAGCCTTTATTTGGTTTCTTTTTCAAATCAAAATGAATTTCAAAAATAAAAAGGTTCGCTGAAAGGTTAATCAGGCGCTAGCAAAAACGATCTACAGTAGTTGTCCATAAGTGAAATTTCCATAGACTTGCATGTTAATTAACTCATGCAAGAATAATTTTCATAAATTTAGTTTCGGTCGGATTGCTTTCAATACTTATCTACCAGCTGGGAACTCATCTCAGCTACATACACATAATTTCCATTCAATTTTCCGATGATTATTAAGAAAACTGCAACTATTTAAACAACATATCAGACATACCAATCAGGTTTAACATGACTGTCTATGGGATAGATTAAAAGTTGTACTTATACATGGTGCTTGTCATTCGGTTACTAATCAATGGAAATATGAAAGGAAATTATGTACACTAGCTGAAGATGATTTCCAAGATGTTTGCAAAATATCAAAATGAAATGACTTCTACTCATTTTATGAATTTTTATGAAGATTATTCTTGCAACAGTTAATTAACATGTAAGTCTATGGACATTTCACTAATGATGACTCATTTATGGCCAACTACTGTACATTGCCATGTTCTGAAGAGCTTATTTAATATACAATGTGATATCTATAACATTGTATAAAATCACGTTCGTGAACCAAAATACAATGTTGTCTCATATGACATCATAATAACCTTTATTTCAAATACAAATTGTCACACACAACCACAGTACAAAAAACAATGTTTCGATGTTTTGTACGTTAAATGTAATACTTGAATACATCAACCGAGTGCATCAAGTTTAAAACTGTTGCAGCGCAAACATGACCAGGGACTAGCCCCCTGGAGAAGAATTTCATGGCAAATATTGTGCAAATCTATTAATATATGGAATATATCATATATAGTATGACCAGAAATTATTGAGAATTTTAGGAATATGTTTAATTGGATTTCTAGTATAAACAACCTTGACCAGCTATCAAATGCTTGGTTTCATTCAAGAGAGACAACTCCGTTAATACTTTTTCATTAGTTTGTGAAGAGTTATCCCCCTTTGTTTACTTGCTAGCAGACGACATTTTCAGTGATCCTCAGTATGGATGATTTGGAGAAGAGGAAGTTGATTTTAGAGTATTATAATAAGGACATCAGATCAGCTAAAGTGATTTCAAGTAGAACAGGCATCCCTTTGTCCACTGTTTATCGTGTTTTGAAAAATATTGCAAATGGATATGGCATTGAGCACCAGGGAGGTGCAGGTAGGCCCAGAAAATTGACTGTCGTGACAGGAGGCGGCTTGGTATTCTTGTTTCTAAAAAACAAACGAAGGAGTTTAGAAAATTTAAGGCTGGATATGATTGATAGAGGAATAGTGGCTGTCTGTAAGGAGACAATTAGAACTGAGCTGCATGCAATGGGTTGGCAGAAAAGTCGAGGAATTCCATCACCGATCATGAAACCTGAACAAAAGGAGCGAAGGTTGAACTGGTGCTTACAGCATAGAAATTTTAACTGGGACAATGTGATTTTCTCAGATGAAAGTTCTGTGTGGGTGTTTCCTAATACACTGAAATTCTGGAGCAAACAAACTGAAAAAGCTTTGTATCAGCGCCCAAAGTACAGTCCGAAATTTAACGTGTGGGGTGGCATATGTGTGTTAGGGGCAACGCCCCTCTGTGTATTTGAAGGGAATATGAACAGTGAGCGGTACACAGATATTCTCGAGGGACATTTACTTCCATCTGCTCACGTGCTCTATGGACATTTTTGGACAAGGACCCAAAACATCGTTCAAAGCATTCACAGGCCTGGTTTCGGACCCAAAATATGACATTATTAGATTGGCCCAGCTATAGCCCTGACCTAAATCCAACAGAAAATGTTTGTGGACTTATGAAGGAAAGTGTCAAAAAGAAAAATCTGACAAATATTGCTGAAATGAAAGAAGAGGGGGTCCGATATTGGGACCGCATGGACCACGACTTTCTAACTTCTTTGATTAATAGTATGCCCCGCCTCATTGAAGCCTGCATTGCTGCCCATGGTGACTTGACAAAACAAAATACTAACTGTTCACCTGTCTTTGAATCTGGAGTTATGTTCTGCTAATATTCACATTTAATACGTGAGCAATGAGGAAAAAAATAAAATAATTTACAATCTTAAATTCTCAATAATTTCTGGTTGTACTGTATATAAAAAAACTTTATTGGTGTATTTCTCAAAGTTTAACATGCTCCATGTTGAATGAGGCTGTTTGTTCAGTAATAGTGTAGTTGTTTGTTGGCGGCGGCCTGTCACCAGACCGGTGATTGATATTGCCAACAGTTTTCGTTGTGATGCGAAGCAATTAACCAAGTCACCGAGGAGACAATAACAACCACGTACCTAGTCCATCACATTAAATGCAAACATTTCATAGGCTTGTTCTGCACTAGCCGAGAGCCGTGATGCGGTATATACAGTAAATACATGACCCTGCATCATGCAGGGTCATGTCTAGTCTCTCGTACAGACCCTGAAGCAAATATATCCAAGAAAGCCCACGCAAGTCTAGAAAATGTGGCAAGTCTAGATTTCCTCAGCTTAAAGTCTCAGGGCTCCTTTTCATTATATTATATATTTTTTTACTATGAACTATTTATGTTCATTTCAGAGACTAGTTGTTAGTCTAGGTCATGTCTTGACTGTATAGACCGCATCGCGGCTCTCGGCTACTTCTGCACCGGAACCCCCACGGGTTGAATGTAAGCAGCAGGTGGTCGAACAAAGCGTGAATATAGCGATTATTACACAAGCAAGTGTGCCGTACGACGTATATTGTATTGCCCGAGCGAGAGCGAATTAAAACTCGATACAGTAGGCCTACATGTAGCCAAAGATACGCCTTTGATGTAGCCGATTGGGGAGCTTCGCTTTGGGCACTTTTGACGTAAATCATCAATGATCATGGTTCACAAAATGTCTTGAAACTTTTATCTTATGTAATTAATAAATTTCAGAAAGGTCAAAGGTCGCGAGTCAGGTTGAATAAATGCCGGGCAAGGCCGTATGCGAGTTTCTCTTTCGCAGTACCAGGGAGACTATATATAACGTAGATTATCCCTGGCAGTACAAACACATAACAGTCTTATAACATATGTGTTAGCTCCTATGTGCTTTGTCAACAAAATAAGTACACGAAGTTGGTGCATGCACGAAAACAGTACAAAAATCTGAAATTTACTTCCGTAAAATGACGGGTTGGCCTATATTAATGTAAAAGACGAATCATCCAAACGAAGTTGCATACGACTCGAAAGTTTTATGAGGTGAGGTTACACTTCTCGTCGCATTATTGCGGGCACGATGACATCTCTCCCTCTTCCTTTTGGTTAAAGCGGATTTATTTATCGATAAAACCATCATATTATAAAACGAAAGCATTACATTTTTGGAATGTTAGAACGTATTCTGTTCGTTTCAATATTCTAGAATTCACATTTTTGTACTACCCTATAGACCGGACCGTCCTCCAGATAACCACCTCAGTCAACACATTTCGTCCTGAGGTTCAAGTGGTTGCAGCAGGGAGCTTATGTAAGGTGGGATTTTTTTTTATTTATCTGTGTGCTGAAACACGTGTGCGCTGGTATGGTTGCAAGGAAGGTTATGTTTCTCGACAGAAGCTAAATAATAAAGTACACTATTCTCTCCAGATGCAGATATGATCATTTACACTCACAGGATTCAGAGCTGTGAGCTGGTGATTCACCAGGCGAGGTCAGTGTCATCTCACCTTTCCGTGCACATGAAGATGGTGTCAGTTGTTGTCGGCCGCAGTTAGGGTTATATTTACCCATAATATGGGCGTTACAAGACAATGTTTTGTCGCGCACAAACCAAGCAAACGTGAAAACGAAGGGACGACCACTTCACTGAAAAAAGGAAGTGTGTGTAAAATCCTCAAAATTCGTTTAAAGTTTCTTTGGATAAGAACATTATTTATGAGCTGAAGATTAATTGCTACTCAAAATGACCTCCAAATATGTAAAAAAAAAAAGGTAAATGAAAGCTTCACTATAAAATTTAATCCCCAAATATGTAAAAAAACCCAAGGTAAACGAAAGGCTCACTAAAAAAGTTTATAAAGGTTTTAGGGACCGTTCATAATTATGACTTTAACTTTTTAAGGGGGTCACCCATTTTGTTCTGGGGAGGTGTGGGGGTCAACAATTTTTGTACACAAGTTTTTTGGAGGGGTCAGCAATTTTGTACATATAAATATTTTAAATATATGGAAAGAGGGAGGGGGTTATTGACTTTGTACATACATTTTAGGGAGGGGGGGTCATTCACATTGTACATGCTTCTCCATAAAATCATCATCATCTCCCCTAGCCATAAATTATGAACGGTCCCTTAGTGAACCTTTCATTTACCTTTTTTTTTTTTACATATTTGGAGGTCATGTCAGGGTAGGAGTTAATCTTCAGCTTTTAGTTGTCATTGAAGTATCACACGCAGCAATGATCCCAAATCAAGGACCAGATGTGGGAAGTTATGTAACTGCTATATGTAACCTCAACTTGTTTCAGATGTCTGAGTACGTTCGTCCAGCGTTTGCAATAGTATTTCCTAACCTTGGTGGTATTGCTGGAGGCTTCTTGACAAGGAAGGCAATCCCAGACTGGTATGAGGTATGTAGTGGCATTGTGGCATGCCTTAATATACCAGGAATTCCGATATTAAGCCCTGGCCTTAATTATAAAAAATTATCCCTTTGGTAATTGAATTGTAAAACTATAATTTATTCCAAGGGGTCTTTTTTTATCTCAGGAAGCTTCTGTAATATCTTTTAACTGGAAAAGTCATAAATAAATAAAACAGTTCCAAAGCTAATGGACTTCAAGAGAAGTCAACTACACAGGTTTGCTTCACTTTCTCAGTAGTCAGAACCGTAATCGAGGAGTTCCAGATTACATCCAATTGAAATATTTTCCACATTGATAGAACCTGAGTGCAAGTCACTTGCATTTAAGTGGTGTATTTCCGGTCAAGTACCTGACTTGTGTCTGGACTTCAGTGAGTCCTCTACATGTGGAATGCCCTGACTGTACTGTGATCGTTGTGAAGACTGACCAAGGGACATCACTCTCAAGCATAGCATTAATTATCTTATTTTAGGTCCATGAGCCAATTGGAGGCTCATTGGCAAGGATTGTATTGGGATAATAGGGCCTCATAATGTTTGGCCAATCTTTTACAGTCAGGTTTTTCATGTTTAATAATGTGACTGGCAAAGATGCGGTCAAAAGTAAAATCACAGAGTCAAAAAGACCATCTATAATATTTGAAGATGTTTGAGTCTTTAATATGGAGAGTGAGTGAGTGAGTGCACATTGAATAATGCAACAATCTACAGATATCTATGTATAATATTATCAACCACAAACATTTTTTCATGTGTTTCCTAAGGTGGGATTCACTTAATTGATAACAGGAAGGGCATAAAATGGATATTGAGTATCAACATAGACTTAAAGTAGCTGACTCACTCAAAAAGCAGTTAGGCCTAAAAACATTGTGTTGTGGTTCCGATTACCCGACCCTTGAATTCTGGTGCCGATCCTAGGTTTTTTAGAGGTATGAATAAAATAAGCTTTCAGATGCCATTGTTTTTTCCTGGCACCAACGGACATTGGTCATTCTGATAAAGAATGTCGACATGATGGCTGCAAGCTTGATTCAATAAACAATTACACATTGATAAATGTGTTATTAGTTCATACTTTACTTCTAAAAAAACGTAAAAAAAAAAGAATTCCTACCTACCTACCATAAATTTTAAAGAGGTGTAATCGGAACCACAACATTTATTTTGTTTGGCCTTACTGAAGGTCGCCTTTGCTGAAGATCATTTCTTGACTGAATTTTGGATTGTACAAAGTGGGAAAATAAAACCCGGGCCTTTAGCATGAACGCTCTCCCATTTGGCTGCATCACCACCCAACAATCAGTCAAGCAACTGATCATCCCTATACATCCTGCACCTGTTTTCCCCTGGATCCCCACAGGGTCTTACAGGAATGCTCAGCTGCACCAGTTCCTGTATGTGTTGTTTAGTGTGTCCATATTGTATTTCCAGAACTTGAGGAGGCCATCATGGAGACCCCCAAACTACGTGTTCGGTCCTGTGTGGACTTACCTTTACTCTTCAATGGGATATGCCTCTTACCTCGTTTGGCGAGACGGTGGGGGATTTAGCGGAGATGCTGCACTGCCTCTTGCCTGTTTTGGCACTCAGCTTGCCCTAAACTGGGCCTGGACACCGATATTCTTTGGTGCCAAGAAGCTGGGTTTGGTGAGTTATTTTCATTATCTTTACTTCATGGGCTGCATGCATACCAACATTCATTCTCTTCCCACATTGGTTACTTGTCATATCTTTCTACTAACCTCTGTTTTAATACGGCCATATTTCCCGGTTCTCGTAAAATCCCCTAGCGATAAAAAATCGCAACACCTAATTATCTTATTTTTCCTCATCCTGACTCATGCTCTTTTGCTTGTCTTCTTCTTCTTGCTGAGAACATAGTGGAACACTTGTATCTCATAAGTGAAGCTCCCTTCAATGTAAAATCACTAATTGGTACTCACCAAGAGTTGCCTCCCTTGCCCTTTGGCGGGAACAGGTGTCGCCACCCTCTGGCCCTCATGCTTCACTCTCTCCTTCTTAGCCCAGTGAGCAGGATGTGAGAGCGCCTGTGTCTCCTTACACACTATATCCTTTGGTTTTCTTAGTTTTTACCTCTTATAGGTTACTATAGAGGTATAGCTAGTATCCTTCATTCATTTGCATTGATAATTAATCATTATTTCTACTGTTTATTCCGTGGAGTTAAGTGATTGTTCAGCTAGTATTACGTTGATGAAAATCTGTACTATTTGCAGTTTACGTTTTCTGTTGCTGACCCCATGTATTATGCCCTAGTTGTGCTTTCGCCTTGTGCGTTTGATTCACGTTGCAGTTACTGCATTAATCTATCTAATTCTGCTTTTCATAAATATCTTTGCGTCTTGAGGCATTACGCAGATAGGTCCGCAAACAAAGGGTTAGACATGGCCGATACATCGGATTCCCCATCCAGTCAGCTGCTGTCGATCGACCCCCTCCGTCTGGTGTTCCGCTAGAGACCCGGAAGAGGCGTCCTGCCTCCCAGGCGTCCGTCGTCATGCAGCCAAAGTCCAAGAGGGCCTCGACATCTTCTCAGCGACCCGGACCCCCAGGGCAGCGTCGACCTCCAAGGGAAGTCACGAGAAGTCGTCAAAGAACTTTCTTAGCGAGATTGTTCCAGCCGCTTGAACTGGGCCTCTACGATGATCAGCCGATCATCATCCCTGGCGACGCATACAAGAAGCGACCGGTGACAGCTACAGTGACATCAGCAGAGATCGCCATGCAGCCTGATGTCTCTACACTGATGTCAGGCGACTTCCCTGAGGGCTCAGCCGCTGTCATCGCAGAGAGGGCACCCGACCGCCGTCGCAGACCATCCCAGGCGAGCTGTTGCGGCAGATCATGACCATAATGGAGGCCACTACAGGCGGGGAGAAGAAGCCAGCCCAGGGCCAGCGTAGCAGCAGCCACGTGAAGCAGCCTTCAAGAAGGAAGTCACAGACCACCTCGACGAAGGACCCAGATGTACAGTCTTCGCGAAGGCCTTAGCGAAGGCGGAGAAGAGATCGTCACCGTCCTTGGTCTCATCCTCAGATGCGGACTCAGACCACCAGACATCGCGGAAGCCGTCCACGCGGAGGTCAAGGCGCGCTCCCCAGATCCGGACGCAGCGGGAAGCTTCCACGAAGGCCGTCCACACAGATCGTCATCATCGTCCAGAAGGGCGTCGAGGGACTACTCAAGAGCTTGGCGAAGCTATCAACATTCTCCTCGCAGATCTCCGAGAAGGTCATCCCATAGACGCAGATCACCTAGACGATCTCCACGCCGTTCACCACGCCGATCTCCGCGTACATCACCACGTCGATCACCTCGCAGGTCACCACACAAGTCTGCACACAAGTCTACAGTCAGGTCTCCCCAAAGCGCCAGACATACCTGATGAAGGAAGGCGATGCAGGCGATACGTCGTCACCCTACCTCCGACGACCCGATTGCTGCGGTGCCACAGAATCTAGATACAGCCTTCCATAAAGCCACGAAAGTGCAGACACCACATCTGCCGAACTTTCACGCTAAGAAGTTCTCCACGCACAATATGGACCCCTTCCTCAAGGCACAAGACATCGATGACAACTACAAGCTGATCAGCGATGTTAAGAACAAGAACTACAAGATTGGCGATGCGCATGAAGCTGGTGCAGATAGAAACCATGGCCGAGGCGCATGTTTTTGGCCTAAATAGATCTAGAGCGATCAATGAGACACTTATCACCAGATTTCGTAATCGACCTCTGAAGATGATAGGATGATCTACTCGGCCCTACTGATGCAAAAGAAGGACCAGCAGTTTCTACAGATCATCTCACATCTGTCTCAGCAGAGCGCTGACCTTAGCTCGTCGTCAAGGCCTCCTCGCTTCCTGCAGCTGGGGTGAGAACTTTACAGCTCCACTCTATACAGCCCGTGGTCTTCCCCATCCATCTTTGGCGGAGGAATAGACAAAGTCTCCAAGGAAGTCACTAAGGACTCCAGAGAAGTCCTTATGATCAAGTCGATGGACACCGCTAGCCAAGCGTCATCAGGCAGACTTCACAAAGATACTCAGAGGGAGATCTAAGTTCTCGGGGACTACAGAAAGCGCGGGATAGGAAGATAGCCAGGCGCCAGGAAAAGATTCTTTAGAGCTTAAGCCCATATGGCAACTATAGAGGAGGGTCAGGAAGAGGCAGGACACCCAGAGGTTCCCTTAACTATAAGCTGAAAGACAGGTTCGAACGACTGGAGTCTTCCACCCCAGCTGTTCCAGTACAACCCGTCACAAGTGGGTGGGCGCCTCCAACTACACTGGGAGAACTGGGGAATGTTACAAGACCCATATGTCTCCAACATTCTTCAACCGGAGTTTTGTATCCCACTACAGGCCGCCTCCGCTGACAGTCAACCCTCACAAGTTCGACTTACAGGCACAACAACTACCAAAGTTAAGAGAGGCTGTTACATCACTCATAACCAAGCAGGCCATAGAAGTACTAGATCAAGTAAACATCAGACCAGGCTTCTACTCCCCAGTTTTCCTAGTACCCAAGAAAAACTCCAAGGAGAAATACAGACTCATTTACAACATGAGCTTTTTCAACAGGAATTATCTACATGGAAACCACCAAAGTTTCATGATGATACACCTACCTCAGTTCACACGGCAGTTGATTAAGCCCCATGGATTACATGGCCAGTATAGATCTGCAAGGCGCATATCTACACATCCCGATACATCCGAATCCAGGAAATATCTAAGATTTACACTAGGCGGGCTACATTACCAATGGAAAGTACTCCCATTGAATATCATCAGCCCCTGGCTATTCACGAGGGATAACGAAACCTATTGTCACCTATCTACATCATCTAGGGCTATGCAGTGCGTTCTACCTCGACTGACGGGATACAAGTAGATCAAGATCCACAGCGTCTCAAACTACAGTTAAACTACATCATAAAGCTACTAACACAGCTAGGATGGTTAGTAAACTTACTCAAGTCGGACCTAGTACCATCGCCAAGATCTGCAGTTCCTAGGCATTCGATTTATCACGACTCTCAACCCGTATCGTCGTACCAGAAGACCGTTGGCTCAAGATCCAACAGACCATTCCGCCAGCTCTACTCTCTCCGTTACCACTCACGACAATGGCAGAGCTTGTTGGGTCTCCTCACATCAGCCCAAGACATGACAGTCAGAGGCAGATTACAGCTCACGCCCGTTACAGGTCTTCATCGATGCACATCTCGGCGACCTACAACCATTCAGTCTACCGAAACATCTCAGACCTCATCTACTATGGTGGACCAGGAGGTGAATGTCTCGAAAGGTATTTGTTTAGCAGAGCAGGAATTCAAAACCCATCTATATGTAGACAGCGTCGCCCAAGGTTGGGGAGCTCATCTCAGCCAACGGATCGACATCAGGGTTATGGAATCAGCAAGAAAGCAAGCTCCATATAAACATGTTAGAGATGAAAGCTGTAATCAGCGCCATACTTCATTGGAGCACCATTCTACAGAATGCGACTTAATGATTCATACCGACTACTCTCGACAGTGGCGTTCTATGTGAACAAACAAGGCTCAACGAGATCACTGAACCTATTGACTTGAAGCTTTCAACTGTTCGATCTAATCCACGATCTAAACCTACATGTCAGAGCATGTCACATTCCCGAGCCAAGAATGTACTAGCAGGCGCACTCTCTCGGGCCACATCAACCGTCACCGACAGAATGGATGCTCAATACAGAAATATTTGCACAGATAATCAAGCAAATAGGGCGCAGCTAGTAGATCTATTAAGCCACACGCTTCAACAATCAGCTACCGACATTCGTGTCACCAGTCCCAGACCCACAAGCATGGGCAACGGACGCTCTAAGCATATCCTGGGAAGGCCTCAATGCGACGCTAAGCGTTTCCGCCAGCCAGCAATAATACCTCAAGTGTTACAGAAAATCAGACAAACACAGAGCCTCCAACTCACTTTGGTCGCGTGCCCTACTGGCCAGCCAGAGCGTGGTTTCCCATTCTAATTCAAGAAATCGGTCAACCAACACTAGAGCTACCCAAAGCGCCAAATCTCTTAATACATCCACACACCAAACAGGTGCACGGAAGCCCAGAAGTATTCCAACTTCATTATGGACTGTATTAAAATGTGTTTAAACAAGAGAGGATATTCTACCAGGGCGGCAAAAGCGGTCAGCTTGCCTTACATAATTCTACACGTAACTTGTAACGGCGACAAGTGGCACAGTTTAAAATTACGCAGCAAATAAGGGGATTTACAGCGAGAGATGCTACTCATCCACAAGTGGCAGATTATTTGTGTTACTTACGCAAAACAAACATTTAAAAGGCTCGACATTGTCAACATATCTTGCAGCTTAGTTCTGTGATTACTATGAGAGCGGGTGTCAAATTGACTAAAACTCCAGAGTTACTGGCCTTACTACGTGCTTTCCGATTGGAGGACCAAAAGCGGAAGTTCCACGCCCCAGCTTGGGATCTGAATATAGTGCTACAACACCTCACAAGTGAGGCTTATGAACCGTTGGAATCGACAACTTTTGAATTTCTCTCACAGAAAACGCTTTTCCTGTTATCTCTAGCCACAGCAGCCAGGATGTCAGAAATTCACGCACTAGATTATGAGAGGATACAGTTTGATGACAATCAAAACACAGCACACCTGGGACTAAGATGGGATTTCATCGCCAAAAATCAACTACCAGGTCAACCAGACAGGTTATTCCATATCCCTGCACTATCCTCGATTCTCGGATCTCAAGATACACTGGACTTATCTCTATGCCCAGTCAGAGCTCTCAAAATCTATTTAATTGACGTTCCAAAACAAGGCTTAAGATTTCTCAAACGATTATTCATTCCCTTGTCGAGGCAACAACTCAGACAGAAGTCTCGTACCACCATATCTATATGGATAAGAACTGTCATACTTCGGGCCTACAAGGCAGCAGGACTGGACCCTCCAACAGCATCAAATCCCCATGAGATCAGGGCATTGGCTTCCACTCTAAGCCTCTACACGGTAACTGTTCATTGAATACAATTATGGAAGGATGCTTTTGGAAATCTAACATGGTGTTTGCTAATCACTATCTGAGAGATATCACCACCCGAGGGCGTCTCAGGTATTCACCATTTCGGGTCCCTTGGTCCTCAGACAGCAGTTGACAGTCCCGTCAGAAGCGTTAACATCGTAGTCTTACGAGATTAATATGCATAATTGATACATGCATTATCTAGCTTATAACTCTCACGGAGTTCTAGCACTATGTATATACTTAGCTTAGGTCTACTCACCCATAAACTTTTACTGATGATTATGTTCAGTTGTATAGCTTCTCTATCAGAGTCGCTTTGATATTGTTATTTGATAATATCACAGTATATTATTATTGTAAATACCCCAGTATGGCAAAATATAACCTATGGCTTATAATAGAGGAAATATCCTAAGTCTATGCCTTTATGAAGTTCCGTAAGGGAGTTTATTACAGTTATATCTATATAAATCACTAATTCTATAAATCCAAAGTATTCTGTTTTTCCCACCTCCGTTTCAGTAGAGGATTCTACAAGCAAAAGAGCATGAGTCAGGATAAGGAAAAATAAGTAATTTTAGAGTAAAATTGATATTTTATACTTATCCTGATTCATGAGGTAAAGCCCTCCCATCCTCCCCACATAACACTTTGGATTTCCCTGTAAATTCAAGTGTTGGGCTCATAAAATCAGGAGAGAGTGAAGCATGAGGCCAGAGGGTGGCGACACCTGTTCCCGCCAAAAGGGCAAGGGAGGCAACTCTTGGTGAGTACCAATTAGTGATTTTACATTGAAGGAGCTTCAATTAAGGAGATACAAGTGTTCCACTATGTTAGCAAAGAAGAAGAAGACAAGCAAAAGAGCATGAGTCAGGATAAGTTTAAAATATCAATTTTACTCTAAAAATTACATTTTTCTATCCAATCAGGACACATGTTACATCAACTTAGATCCAGTTTGACTAATACAAGCATATGTGGGGCCACAAATATCCCTCCCCTCCCGGGGACTTGTGTTGATGTGACACACAAGGCATTTAATAATGATTTAATGGCTAGCTTGTCCGTTGTCAACAAGGGCAGTGGAGACGCCAATGATCCGCTATTACATGACTGAGTTCTGTCTAGAAGAAACGTTTGCGCATCGCCCATGGGAAGAGGTTCTAGTTTTCCCGAAGCATACGAAAATTACCGAGACCTTGCGAATGATCACTTTTGAAACAACGTCGCTGACTGCACAACTAATTCTGATTGCAACCAATCACGAATCCTGAACACTCGCACTATGAAAGGGCCGTATTAGAACAGAGGTTCATAGGAAGATATGACAAGTAATCTTTGTGGGAAGAGAATGACCAACATTATAGTAGCCAAAGTTATTAGAGGAGATAAATATATATTTGTGCTCAAATTAAGTAGATCACATGGTATTGTGTACTATACTTTGACCACAGTAATGAGCTTTCCATGTTTAATCAATTTGTACCAACATTTTGCAGTAATGCACATTGGTTCAGTGTTTAGGAATGTCAAATTTACAAATATATCAGTGCATTGTTAATTTTTACATAATACAATACATGATACACTAACAATGGGTATAGAGTACCCTAGTTGTGTAAGTATTGATGTACATGACACTGTTGCATCCTGACACCCACTGGACTGTAATTACAGGTGCTTGTTACTCTGCTGCATCTGTTACAGGCCACAATTGAGATTGGTGCTCTGTGGGGAGCAATCCTGGCAACTATTATCACCTTCCATCCCGTCAACCGGACAGCCTCCTACCTGCTCCTCCCCTACCTGGGCTGGGTCTCACTTGCAAGCTGCCTCACTTTCAACATCTGGCGTAACAACAAGGACCGCACTGACTGAAAAGTCTGCACAGAGTTGTCTGATCTTGTTGAACGTGTCCGCATGATGAGAGGAACCCACAGTGCATGGAAAGAAGTCTAATGTCTGTTTTCAGAAAACTTTATTAGATGTAGTTGTATTTATTTGAAATTTTGCATCAAATTTTTTGGGAGAGCTCACATTACTGCCCTGTATTGCTGTTTATATTACAGTGTTCTCTTATTCAAAGTGCCGTGAATCATTGTCAATAACTCAACGTCTCAGTCAAGATCCAGGTTAGGATAGGAATACATCAGATCCTGTTGCCCTATCATGTATCTATTGCTGATGCAAATGTCCAGCTGTCGATAATCGTAATCTCCACCCAGCCCACTTAACTCCTCCTCCCAGTCCCCAAACTTGGGCCAGACCAGTCCAGTATTCAGGAAGACAGTGTGTGAGGACAGCCTGAACAGAGATTACTAACAGTCACTAAAAGGGAGTAGTGAGTTTAGTTTTATGCAGCACTCAGCAATATTCCAGCTATATGGCAGCGGTCTGTAAATAATCGAATCTGAACCAGACAATCCAGTGATCAACAGCATGAGCAGAAAAAGGGAGTAACCTTGACTGTTTTCAACTCAGTTCCAACAAATGTATGTGATAACACTTGAAGGTTTATAACTAAATCTAGTCAAACCAAGTCACTATTCTGTGGTCAACACTATTTGTTGTTTCAGTGTCATATAACATGATCCACAGATACTCTAATCCAAACCTGTTGATAATTTAGGTATTTAATGTGAAAATAATCACGCTTTAGTGATGACCCAATATTAACATGATGTGGGCTTCTGTGTTTCTATCCCAATGGTTTTTGCTAAAGCTGGTGTAAAACCCAACTTACCTCCTCTCCACCCAGCTGTCCCCAGCCACAGCCAGCAAATCATGTAGATGCACCATTTCAAGTTTCATTGTATACTTAAAGACATTTCAGGGTCGCTATCGGAAAAACACACCAAATGTCAGTGTGAATGGTATAAAAAACAGTGAGACAGATGCTTGAGCATCCTTTTAGTATTTCTGGTTGATGTGGAGAGTTTAAAGTTATTCTGAATACTCTGAATAATCAGTCAAGCCTCAGAAAGAGGAAGGGTTGGAGCTGAAGATGATCACTGAGACTATTTAACTAACAATTTCTAGTTACTATTCATTCCAGAAACTATGGGCCACATTGGTTGAAGTGTTAGTGTGTCGATCCCCCACTTTTGAAGCTTATTTCTGGTTTCCCCTGACAAGATATTGTCAGAATTTTGTCAAAACTTGCTTAAACCATACCCACTCCATTATTCGATATTACTGTGGTGTTCACTATCATTTCATCCCTGGGTGTGGGGTAGCCTAGTGGTTAAAGCGTTGGCTCGTCCACTTAATTTAAGACCCGGGTTCGATTCCCCACATGGGCACAATGTGTGGCGCCCATTTCTGGTGTCCCCTGCCGTGATATTGCTGGAATATTGCTAAGCGCGTAAAACCAAACTCAGTCAGTCAGTCAATCATTTCATCCCTGGTGAGTTACTCCCCTTTGAGACATATTGGCGTGTACTGAGAGAGAGTTTCCTGTTAGTGGCATAGTGTTGCTATTTAGCATGTAGATTGTACCTTTTGATTTATATGATCAAGACCTTATCAATATGTTACCTATTGTTATCTTTGTTTTAGAGTTAAATGTATTCTATAGCTGACAGGGTGGTATGGTTCATAACCTTCTTTATTACAGCTGTAGCAACGTTTTGGCATAGTTTCTAACTCTTTAATATCAGGCCCGGATTTCTGGAAACAAACTTAAGTTTTTACTCAAATCTCAAACTGAATTTTTAACTCAACTGCATTTTCAAAATATAAAAGCCCAAACAACTTAAGTAATCTATCCACCAAACTCAAATTGTCTTCTATAGTTTGAGTTTAATACCAATTTCAGTTCATTCTGTGGAATGCATTTTTCTGCGTTTTCTCAAATTTGAGTAAAAACTCGAACTTAAGTCAAAACTCAGACTTAAGTTTGTTTCCAGAAATCCGGGCCTGAATGTAAGAATCTCTGCCAAAACATTGCTTGAGTTTTCATTCTGAAGTTAATAATCTTTTGTTTAAGTGACATATTATTACTAGTATGTTTTATGGCTTGGCTGTGGAAATATGTATGGCTCTTTTTGATATTATAAACAATATCTGTATACCATCAGCTATATGATAACTTGTATTACTTGATACCTTACGTGAACTGGCAGTGTGTGTACACAGGGCAGTTTGTTGGCTTGTCACAATGGCAGGTCTTCTCATACAAGATACCATTGTTCACCCAAACGTAACTTATATATGACCTTATGCTGTCAACATACCAACAGGTGATAAGGTTGTATATTTGCCATATGACACCAGCTAACTACCTAGTACAAGCTGTTATTACCATCTTGTTGCTGATTGGTAACAGAAATTACCTTACTGATGACAGATGTGTATATCACGTTTCATAGGCTACATATTTTCTTATGTATTCATCTTTTTTTATTTATCTACTTACAAACAGACAGCAATATGTACTCCACAGCATTTATGTACTCCACAAGTTCATCACAGAAAAAAAGAAAGTTTATATTCAACTATTTGTTCTACTGGCATGTTGTGACCAGTTATGGTTACATGAGCCTTCTAGGGCTTCAGAGACATATTGGGTTGTATAGACCCTAGGGAGTTGAGAATAAAACTTCAAAGAGAACTGGTTCATTGACCCAGTGAGCTTTGAGTATGCATGGTGTGGAAATACAGAGCAATTTGTAATGATGCTATTGATATTTGAATTTTATGCCACTGACACAAATTTGGCACATAGGAATGTGCCTGAAGCTCATTTTGTTAGGGGTATTTTGATATTACTGGGTACTTAAATTCAAAATTATGTATTGGAGCTTATTTTATTGTTTGTTGTTCAAATAGGAATAAAATATTTTATATATTGTATATTCTATTGTTGTATGTATGCACTGGACATGACTTTGGTGAAATTCTGATGCTCAAGGTAGACTTACAGCAAGAATCATCCATTCCCTGACTCTCTGCAGCAGAACACACCATGACTTTAACTTCCGGTGTACACATCAAAGTTGACAAGGGGTGGTGTAACATTTGTAGATTTTCTTCTGTGCTTCTGTTGCTAACCCTCCTGTGTCTGTTGACTTGTTGTTGAAGTCAGCAATATTCCAGCTATATGATGGTGGTCTGTTAATCATCAAGTCTGGACCAGACAATCCAATACTTGAGATCATGAGTATTGATGCATGAATATAAAGGCATGCATCAACCCAGCCAGCGGCCTGACCAGCCAATCCTGTTGTATTAGTCACCCATGAGAACCAGCATGGGTTGCTGGAGACTGATTCCGTGGGTTCTGTACATCTGAAACACTCGGACATGTTCATGTAAACTAAACTGGTTGGTGTCTCTTGTGGAGCTAGTGAAGCTAGGGGTGGGGTGCTGAGCTGTGTCTCTGTGCTGAGGGATGGGATTGTCCCAGCTGGTTGGTGTCTCTTGTGGAGCTGGGGGTGCTGAGCTGTGCTGTGGGATATTGTCCCAGCTATAAGCACCCCTGACAGGACTTTGTCACACCACACTCTTGGATGTTCCTTCATCCAGCTCAGCACTTGTGTGAAACAGTTTATAAATAATCACTGGATCTATCTCTGTTAACACACACACACACACATATATATATGTATATAAAATAAACATCAGCAGTGACACATGTAAACTAATATACAGCTGTGCATTCCAAATGGCTATTTGAGTCCTACCAAAAGGGGTTAAAAATGGTATATATTTTAACTCCACCTGGTGTTGTGCACTTAAGGGTCCGTCTGTATACTGTGGTGGGTATCCTCTGCAGCAGGGCATCAGTTTACCTCAGCTGGACATGGCCTTATGTACCAGGGGCAGATACAGCTTTTTGAGGAGGGAAAGGGAGGTGCACACTTCATTTTCAGGAGAGGTTTCAATGGTCATTTAATAAACTTTCAGGAGAAAGGGGGCCGGGGTCTGGATCCGCCTATGATGTATAGTGGTCATTTAACACGGTCTACTGCACAGTGTTCATTCAACAGGGACCACTGTACGGTGTTCATTCAACACAGTACCCGTGAAGGTCCGGGTTAGAATATTGATCGTCAGTAACTTGTGGTAAGAGGCCAACAACGGGATCGGGTTGTCAGGCTCCCTGACTGGGTTGACACATATAATCGGTTCCCAATTGCGAAGATCGATGCTCATGCTGTCGATCACTCTATTATTTACAGACCGTCGCCATTTAGCTGGAATATTGCTGAGTGCGGCGTAAAACCCAACTCAATCACTCACCCATTCAACAAAGACTACTGTACAGTGTTGATTCAACCTAGACAAACGTACATTGTGAATTCAATAAAACAAAGTACTATGCTTATTTAACACAACCAAACGTACATCATTCGTTCAACATACGCTTATGGCATTATTAAAATATGCCATATACACGCTGTACATCTGTATCAATGTTAATAAGTATTTATATTAAAGAAGATACTGCTGTTATTCCCATGATGCCCTCGAGATAAGCATATACTGATAGAACAGATTTGAGAAAACAATAGATTTGATATTATGTAGGTGCTGATCCTCATGTCATGCATGTATATCTATCTGCCACATCCCTTCCATACAGCGACTGAGAGACAATGACACAACAGCTGTTAATCAAATTCTGACAGGTGGCGGCAGACGACAACCCAGACAATGGCCACAAAGAACAATACACATAGTGTCACCACCAGACGTCCCCGGTGAATCTGTTGTCATATTTTGTGCTCACAGCTCAAGTGAATAAAAAGAGACTGTTTTATGTATTCGTGCAATTGGTGAACCAGTTAGCTATTACACTACAGGCCTTTGTACTGTTACTTAAATAAGTCTAGATCAATTAATATCACAAGAGTGTCAAAAGTGCCCAATCCTATATATCTGTACACAAGACAGGCTCCTGTGTCGTTGCTGAGTATTTCTCCATCCATTGATATCGCCAGTGTCACAAGTGCACTATCATGACACAATCTAAAAGTGTCAGAAATTTACAAGGACCGCACTATATCCAGATCTGCAAGCACAACGACCTCTGTCAGTCTGCAACACGGGTACGGTTCGCTTCGTGGACATCCTCGGTCATCGAGTGTATATGTACAGCGAGAGCCGGGGAATCAGCTGACTCAGCAAAACTGTGCACAAGTGAGTGAGTGATTTTAGTTTTACGCCACTTTTAGCAGTTTTCCAGCAATATCACGGCGGGGGACACCAGAAATGGACTTCACACATTGTACCCATGTGGAGAATCGAACCAGGGTCTTTAAACCATTTACCCGTGAAGGTCCGGGTTAGAGTGGGCCTTCAGTAACCCATGCTTGTCGTAAGAGGCGACTAACGGGATCGGGTGGTCAGGCTCGCTGACTTGGTTGACATGTCATCGGTTCCCAATTGTGCAGATCGATGCTCATGCTGTTGATCACTGGATTGTCTGGTCCAGATTCAATTATTTACAGACCGCCTCCATATAGCTGGAATATTGCTGAGTGCAGCGTAAAACTCAACTCACTCACTCACTTTAAACGCTTTAACCATTAGGCTACCCCACCACCACAGACTGTGCAGGAGCAACCCAACTAACAGCACAAGACTCAATTAGTGCATAAACAGTGAGCTATCAGCCAAAGAGTCATGTATATCATCAATGAACAATAAAACAATTAGAATGAGTTATAGATATCAATATCTATGATAAAACTCCATATGAATATTGTATAAGGTTGACACATAGTAGGAGCATCATAAGACAACGTGCAGCAGATTGTATATGAGTAAATATGACATGCCCGACATACGATATTACATTCCACGAGTGTCATTCACACAAGATACGTAGTTACTTAGCAA